TTTTTCACACAAGGCAGCTGACGGCTCCATATAAGGTAAGAGCAATGCGTGTTTGTTTACCCTGAGGAGCGGGGCTCAGTCTGTTTACATTCACACTGCACTCGAACCGCGCTGGAGTTCGCTTCTACCGGACCGAAACCTAGGTTTTAGCCCGGGCCAGAGTTCACCTTTTTGTTCCGTGACAGAGTTCGATGGTGCGTTCACACCTCCCTAAACGAACCGGACTTTCTAGGAAAATGAGCTAGAGTTCGATTAAAGCGGACTAAACAGGGCTGGTGTGAATGCACCCTTTGAGACAATTTAGAGTTACCAATCAGCCTAACATGCATGTTTTTGGTCTGTGGGAGGAAACTGGAGTACCTGGAGAAAACCCATACATGCACGGAGAGAGCATGCAAACTCCACCCAGAAAGGCCCCAGGAGTGGGATTTAAACTGGGGTAACTTGCTCGCTGAGAGGCAGCAGCTCTACCAGTTGCGCCACCGTGCTGCCCTCTAAAGGAAAATGTAAACTGAATCTCAAGAGAAGGTGGGTCATGCATCAAGACAATGACTCTTAAGCACACAAGTCAATTCAGTTTATTTATATAGCACCAAGTCACAACAGAAGTTATCTCAGAGCACTGAACAAGTCATTCTACCAAAGAATGGTACAAGAAGAATAAAGTTCATGTTCTGGAATGGCCAAAGTTCTGACCTTAATCCAATCCAGATGTTGTGGAAGGACATGAAGCAGCAGTTACTGTGAGGAAACCACCAACATCCAGAGTTGAAGCTGTTCTGTGCAGAGGAATGGACTCAAGTTCCTCTAAGGTGTTCAGGACTGATCAACAGTTACCAGAAATGTTTAGTTGTAGTTATTCATGCATGGGGGTCACACCAGATACTGAAAGTAAAGGTTCACATACTTTTACCTCTCACAAATATATAATATTGGATCATTTCCCTCAATAAATAAATGAACAAGTATAATATTTTGTCTCATTTGTTTAACTGGGTTCTCTTTATCTACTTGTAGGACTTGTGAGAAAATCTGATGATGTTTTAGGTCAAATTTATGCAAAAATATAGAAAATTACAAAGACTTCACAAACTTTCAAGCACCACTGTATGTGTGTAGTGTAGTGTACTAAAACGGCTAGGTTAGCTTCAGCTACACTACAATTTTATTTAAATAACGGGTTCTCTCTTTTTTGAGCTACTTTAGAGATATGTGACAGATGTACTGTGCGTAGATGGTTTAATCAGTGACATGAGACGTTAATTTTCTTTGACCCATCAAAATAAATGTGGTCATTTATTAACAGAATCAAAATTTAACATCAAAACATTGTACACTTGATTAGACTGATCTGGTTCTGATTAATAAAACTTGGCACGTTTTACTTAATAAAAACAACAGACATTTCTGAAGATATCTGGATTAATTACTGGCAAGATAGAAGTTTAAAGATGGGAAATGAAGGAGTTTAAATGGAGAGAAAAGATGGATGAGGGAAAGTGTGTTGACTAGGAATGGCACCCTTCATCCGACCCCAGCTCAGCCTCGGTACACTCGGTAGTGAAGCGACTCGTTACCTTTGCACAAGATAGGTCAGCTCCGGTACGGAGTTCCATTTCAACGCTACCTTCAGCGTCTCCGGTCAGAATGGCTGAGAATCGTCCGAAGTAGTGACGGTACTCCGTTCAACAAACACGCTCATCTCCCGGGTGGATACACAGCAAGCTGTGAGTCCGTCAGAGGTTCCACTCAGATGTGGAAGACTCCACAGTCCCAACTCGACTCAGAAGACTGAGTCTGAGAAAAACTCAGAAGAGACTCAGAAGAACTCAAAAGACTCAGCGGAACTCAGAGGAACTCACGGAACTCACAGTTCCAGGAAGTGTCGACTTTTAAAGAGTTCTGCTTCCGGTCACTTTTAGTAAGTCCTGATTGGTTGAAGGAACCAACAGGGGTGTGGTTTTAGTGACGTCAAAGGGTTTTTACAAGTCGAGAAAACATCAGAAACGTTTAGGAACAGACAGAGAAATGTTTTGACGAAGTGAGAAACACTGCAGGTGCCAGTTCTCTTGTTTACTGTCTGAGAGCTTTAAAAACACGACAGCTCATTCCAACAACTTGTTTTCGACTGTCTCCGACTTTCGACCGACATCACTCTCTCATTTCAGACAGAAGATCAAAAAATGCATAATTACTTTGTAAAATAGACATTTAACTTGATTTCTAATTTGAATGAGGATTAAAAAATCATTAATACTGTTTCACAGTTGATTTAAAATGAGTGGTTCACTTCAACATTTAAAAATGGTATGAACTAAACACACTTTTGATTATCAAGATATTGTAAAATAGTAATGATAATATAAAAAGAGAGTGTTCTTTCAATTGATTAGTTCAGGATACAATTAGAAAGTCTCTGGATGAGCTAATTTGTATTTCTGGATTCAAATCAATGAAATAACAGTTCCTGTCCCATGAAGGTCTTCAGAGGCAGGTTTTGATCGGAGGCCTAGTTCACTACAGTAGTATGTACTGTATATGTATAGCTACAGACGTTTATATTCAGATCCCTCAGTGACATGGGACAACAGCGTTTTGTTTGGTCATTAAAGTTATTTTTTGTCAGACGGGATGTGTCAAGTGTGTCAATCAGTCGCATTGTTCTAACAAAACCCGACCCGATGCGTTTATTGGACTGCTTCCATCACAATCCATCGTTTGGCAGAATCAGGTGAGTAATTCTTTGTTGGGATTGTGTAATGGCTTTTTGCAGTTGTTATCAGCAGTCAGGAGGATGTCTTGTTTGGAGAATTTGGTTTCTGGATCACAGCTGGTCAGACTTTCACTCTTTGAAACAATTCTGCTCTAAATATTCAAAGCAGTCTCTAATCAAACACTTGTGGGTTTTTACACCAGTGTTTTGCATCATGCTGGGTGGAGAAGTTTGACACGATTTGTTTTGCAACGTGATTCTCTCAGAACATGTTGCAATTGGCTTTTTAACAGCCAGTCTTTGGTGTAAGTAAAATACAGCGTAACCACAAATTCAAAAGTGTAAATATTATACATTTTTTTTAATTGTAAATGAGGTTAAAACAGCTCTTCTTTGTGCTTGTGGGTTTCTGTGTGTTAATGTTGCAGCAGAGTTCTGAAGAGGTCCAGCTCCTTCTGGTTAAAACATGTTAAACAGTTACAACGATCAGGTGAGTCTATAATAGATGTGGGCAACATAAGGCCCGAGGGCCAAAAGTGGCCCTTGGACCTTGGACAATCTTCATCCAGTTCCCAATATTTTTAATTAAAAAACAAACAACTTTTATAAAAGTTGATGGAAACCTGCAAATGCAGGTTATTCCTTTTCAGGTCATGGAGGTCACAGGTGTCCATATCCATCCATCACTGTGTGAGCGGCAGGGGACACCCTGGACAGGTCTCCAGTCCATCACAGAGACACATAGAGACAAATGAGACAAACAACCATTCACTCTCTCTCACTCTCACAGCTAGGGACAATTTAGAGTTACCAATCAGTCTAACATGCATGTTTTGGTCTGTGAGAGGAAACTGAAGTACCTGGAGAAAACCCACGCATGCAAAGAGAGAACATGCAAACTCCACCCAGAAAGGCCCCTGGACTGGATTTGATCCAGCGACCTTCTTGGTGAGAGACAACAGCTCTATCAACTGAGCTACCGTTCCAGCCCTCAATGAAACTTAAGGAAGTTTAAATTAAAACTTTTGGACAAATAAAAAACATTTGATTTAAGATAGACATATTTAAGCTAACAAATAAATTGTTACAATTGAGTTAGTTTTTTGGAAGATATGCCTTATAGTCCTAAAGAGAACTGGGCAGGCATATTTTTATCGAGCATGCTAACAATGATACAACAAGAAAAAGCCTTTGTGTTTCTCTACGTGGCCCTTCGGTTGCTTTAAACATGTTGATTGGGCCCTCAACATCTCTATCTGTAACATAACCAGCTGTGAAAGGGTCCTAGACTCAAATCGGCTGAAGTAACACACATGGGTCATGAATTCAAGAAGTATTGTGGGGCCAACAGGTGAGGACCAGGATCAAAACGAGACACTGGTACGATCCAGCAGCCGTGGTTAGACCAGACAGGTGCTATCTTGCTCCCATAGTATCCAAAACACCTACAGGTCCTTCTAAAAAAATTAGCATATTGTGATAAAGGTCATTATTTTCCATAATGTAATGATAAAAATGAAACTTTCATATATTTCAGATTCATTGCACACCAACTGAAATATTTAATGTCTTTAACTGTTTTAATACTGATGATTATGGCATACAGCTCATGAAAACCCAAAATGCCTGTCCCAAAAAATTAGCATATTTCATCCCACCAATGAAATTACAAGTGTTTTTAATACAAAAAACGCCAACCTTCAAATAATCATGTTCAGTTATGCACTCAATACTTGGTCGGGAATCCTTTTGCATGAATGACTGCTTCAGTGCGGCGTGGCATGGAGGCAATCAGCCTGTGGCACTGCTGAGGTGTTATGGAGGCCCAGGATGCTTCGATAGCGGCCTTAAGCTCATCCAGAGTGTTGGGTCTTGCGTCTCTCAACTTTCTCTTCACAATATCCCACAGGTTCTCTACGGGGTTCAGGTCAGGAGAGTTGGCAGGCCAATTGATCACAGTAATACCATGGTCAGTAAACCATTTACCAGTGGTTTTGGCACTGTGAGCAGGTGCCAGGTCGTGCTGAAAAATGAAATCTTCATCTCCATAAAGCTTTTCAGCAGATGGAAGCATGAAGTGCTCCAAAATCTCCTGATAGCTAGCTGCATTGACCCTGCCCTTGATAAAACACAGTGGACCAACACCAGCAGCTGACATGGCACCCCAGTGACTGTGGAAACTTGACACTGGACCTCAAGCAATGTGAATTCTGTGTCTCCTCTCTTCCTCCAGACTCTGGGACCTTGATTTCCAAAGGAAATGCAAAATTTACTGTAATCAGAGAACATAACTTTGGACCACTCAGCAGCAGTCCCAGGCGAGATGCTTCTGACACAGTCTCTTGTTCAAGAGTGGCTTGACCTGGGGAATGCGGCACCTGTAGCCCATTTCCTGCACACGCCTGTGCACGGTGGCTCTGGATGTTTCTACTCCAGACTCAGTCCACTGCTTCCGCAGGTCCCCCAAGGTCTGGAATCGGCCCTTCTCCACAATCCTCCTCAGGGTCCGGTCACCTCTTCTCCTTGTGCTGCGTTTTCTGCCACACTTTTCCCTTCCCACAGACTTCCCACTGAGGTGTCTTGATACAGCACTCTGGGAACAGCCTATTCGTTCAGCAATTTCTTTCTGTGTCTTACCCTCTTGCTTGAGGGTGTCGATGATGGCCTTCTGGACAGCAGTCAGGTCGGCAGTCTTACCCATGATTGCGGTTTTGAGTAATGAACAAGGCTGGGAGTTTTTAAAAGCCTCAGGAATCTTTTGCAAGTGTTTAGAGTTACGTCGTTGATTCAGATGGTTAGGTTAATAGCTTGTTTAGAGAACCTTTTCATGATATGCTAATTTTTTGGGACAGGCATTTTGGGTTTTCATGAGCTGTATACCATAATCATCAGTATTAAAACAATTAAAGACCGGAAATATTTCAGTTGGTGTGCAATGAATCTGAAATATATGAAAGTTTCATTTTTATCATTACATTATGGAAAATAATGACCGTTATCACAATATGCTAATTTTTTGAGAAGGACCTGTATATCACTAAAGTACTTACAACCTGTACTCTATCTCTCTGTGAATTTATATTTTATTTTTCACAGAGATTTCACTTTTTAACCATTTTTGTTTCTCCATTTTAAGCCCTATTTTCTCTGAGAGTGGGATTAGAAAAGGTTGGAAGGATATGCTGGATTTGAGCTTTCTCGTGTATTTTTTTTCTTCCTTTTCCTAAATACCAGCTTGAGTGTAGTAAAAGTATCAAAATAAACGTGTCTGGACCGTCACACTGAAAACTGCCTGACGTTTTTGTCCCATGCATAACTTCTGATCTGTTCAAAAACGTTATTCACATATGGGTCATCACTAGACAGAGTGTAGCGCACACTTCACATCACCCCAGTTCCAAGGTCAAGGTCACAAGTCAAGGTCAAAGTTAAAACAAGGTATTTCCTTATCAAGGCCATTGCTATAAATCGCTGTATAACAGTTTGTCGATGGTCATATGTGTGCCGTATACGGCACTCTTGGATTTGTTTGTTTTTTTTGTCTCAATTTCTTTAGTACTTTGGTTGGATCTGAACTCAGTTTTCTCATCAGAACAGAAATTATAATTTTTTTAATGTGTCGTGTTGTTAATGAAACTTTCAGAAAATAATCCTTAAACGTTCATCAAGAACTGATTAACGTTTGATGTCAACCTGATTCAAGATGGCCACCACAGCTAACTGACCTTAGTCAACACAAAAATGACTAAGTCAGTCAGTTAGGATTAATAAAGTATTTTTGAATTGAATTGAATTGAATTGAATTATACAAAAAATGAAGAAAAACTTGGTGCAGTAGCTGTGAGTCATCCCCAGGTTATAGTCTGAGCACTAACTGATCTCACAAGATCCTTGTTTAAAACTTCAGTTAAAACAGTTGCTGTTTGTTTGTTAGCAAAATATCTCATGAATCACTGGAGGGATTTTAACAAAACTTAATGTCAGCATTGAATGTAGATCTACAACTTACTGAATTTTGGAAACACTCCAGATAAAAATGGCTGCCCACCAGTCGACTCAACAAACAAAAATGGCTACAAGTCAGTTTTACAGATATTGTTTAAAGAATTGGTGAAATTGGACAAGATTCATCACAAACTAACGCTTTAGGAGAAAACTGTACAAATCTCTGTTAAAAACTTCAGATTTAACTTGGTGTGGTAGTAGTTGAGTCATTCATAACAGATACACTCTCAAAATTTGACTGGACAGCTGAAATAAACATCCTGAAACAGAAAGTTATTCTTGTGGAAAAACCACAGAGAAAAGTTTTTTTCCAGGGATATATATGTTTTTCTGTAACATTTTTTAATCCAGTAATGTCGATATAAGCATGTTTTCATATAAGGGTTGAGCTCGTGTGCCAAGTTAGAAATGTGTCTTTTTAATAACTCGGTAAATCTGGTGACACTCAGATGTCCCAGCTTTTCACCGGCCTTGAATGCAGCATTACCTTTAAGAAAGTCTCAAAAGTCACATTCACAGGCAGCTGATTTGTGCATGTTTTGATCATTTGTATGAGCAGAATAGTTCTATTTGTGCATTTATTTATGCTTTTGTGAATCGTGTGCTACACTCACAGTTCTCACTGAACACACAAAACTTGTTGTGTCACTACTGTTGAGCCTAATATATCGTACAGACTGATGAAGCCCTCTGGATAGAGGGCAAAATGATTTGGTACCTGGATGATTGAGCATGAACTTTGATACAGATGGCTCTAGCTGTAAATTTATGTGGGTTCTGTACGTGTGTACCGAAGGAGGTCCAGTATGTTCCACAGGAAGAACTGCACACACACAACCGGTTCACTTTGGAACTCCTCCAGCATGATCAGCAGGATCAGCAGAATGTTCTTCTCCATCACCTGAGGGACAAAAACAGAGTGGCTGATGAGATCAGGCGGTAAACAGGCATACTGGTTCAGGGCTGAGCTGAGACACACCTGGACGAACCGAGGAAGAAGTCGGACTTTCTCAATCCCATCGGTGATGTGGAAAAGTTCCAGGTTTGAGAGCAGCTGGCAGAGACTCATCACCAAGCCGATAGAGTAAAAAGTGTCGGCTACAGCTTCTGAGAGACAAAGGCAGGAGTTAATTTACCTAATGATGCTGTCAGACGAAGGTAGCCCGTTTCCTTTGAACCAATAATGACATAAAGAAACAATGTATTCTTTTAATTATATGTGAAATGTACAAGGAGCTCAGTTAGAGCTGGGGCCTCTCAGTGAGAAGGTTGCTGGATCAAATCCCAGTCTGGGACCTGTATGGATGGAATTTCCATGTTCTCTCCGTGCTGCATGGGTTTTCTCCGGGTACTCCAGTTTCCTCCCACAGACCAAAAACATGTTAGGCTGATTGGTAACTCTAAATAGTCTCTAGGTGTGAGTGAGAGAGTGAATGGTTGTTTGTCTCGTTTGTCTCTATGTGTCCCAGTGATGGACTGGAGACCTGTCTAGGGTGTCCCTGTGATGGACTGGAGACCTGTCCAGGGTGTCCCCCGCCTCTTGCACAGACTTCTGGATATGGGCAGCAGTGACAACCCGGAAAGAAAGATGCGGGTAAAGATAATGGATGGATGAAACACCAAAGTTCAATAATCCAGGTATAAAATCCAACAATGTTCAGTCAGGTCATCTGGACAGTTTCTTTTTCTTTTTTTTGTGCTGAGACATTTCGACCTCCATCCTGAAGGCTTCATCAGTCTGAGGAAACACCAAACAACAGTGATATTCCCCCAAAAGCTTACTTCAAAGTGGAAAAAAAGATGGATGAGAGGCGCATACTGGCACTTTCCATCTTACATAAACTTTGAACAGTTGCATGGGGGGGGGGGGGGGGGGTATGCATTCTTCTTGGAAAAGAAGGGGAGTTGGAATTACCCTCCATCCATCTGTGCATGTTGTGAGCAGGTCACTTTTAAAAGTTGACAAAAAATAAATAAATAAACTACCTCGATCTTCACAGTGTAACTCTTACCCACTGGAATATCTGGCAGCAAAAACATTTAGGTTCACTTTCATTCTCTGTTCAGTTCCAGTTCAGAGAAACACTCATCTATAAAACTACAAACAATCACTGTTCAGACCCCTCAGGGATGGGGGCCATCAGTGTACCTTTTGTTATTATTGATTAATCTTCTATCTTACCTTGACCGAAGGTGAGAAACCTTGCGATGGTGTTGGCCAGGATCCAGGTGTGACCACAGAACTGGAGCAAGTTGTAAGAGAAAATGTAGACGAGCCTGAAGCTGAGCCTGCAGGGAAACACAAACCCTTCAGGAAGCTCGAACACAAAACTCAGTTATCGTCCACATTCACTTTAAAACAACAATATAACATATGAGCTCTTTGTGTCAGAACCCTCACCCTGAAGGTCCAGTCAGCTCAGATCATACTTCAGATTATTCAAGGACAAAAATATTAGGAGTTGTGACAGTAAGGAGTTTGTTTGAGAGAAAAAATAGATTTGGAAACGGTTCAGGCATGTAAAGTCCAACTTTCTGTGACTCGTTCAAACTTGGTGTTCATTTTGTGAAGTCTGAGCTGCAGCCCTTCAACCACGACTCATCTGTTTCATTCGTTTTGTTTATGAACACATTTTCCTCTGTTTGCAGCACACCCTTAACAAAAACTTTTCCCCAGTCGAGCTGCATGTTTATGTGAATAATCTGGAAGTTTTGTTTCAAAACGAGGTGCAGGACAAAACTTTTGGACAGATATTAAGAAGGATGCTTTAATGCTGAACCTTAAACCTGAATAGGTGGTCCCGTCTTAAGACCCTCGTTGTGCATCCATAACTTCCGAGCAAGTAGATCTATAGTAACATTAAAACTTCTCCCTAATCCACCTCCCAGATGAAGATAGCCTTCAGTTTGACTCGTCTCAGCATGGTGTGTGACAACCTGGGATTAAATTACAGCCTGTTCTCTACACCCACCCTGACAATGCACAACATCCATGGTAATAACTCTGTTTGACACTTACATGCTGTTGTCCCTGTGATGCAGGTAGAAGCAGCAGATCATAATCTCGGTGTAGGTCTGACCAGCTTCATGGTTCCTAAAGCAGCAGTAACAGTTCCCACATGTTCTTTACTTCATTCTCCGACACAGAAGAACCGGACAGAGCCCTGCTATGTCTGTTGTACCAGAGGTGGTGCTTCCTCTTGGCTGGCTGCAGCCGCTGTGACTTCACAATTTAAAAAAAATCTCCATAAAAGTGGGAAGTGAAACCGTCCATGTGTGAGCTAGACGCTGACGAGCACCAGCCCCCTTAAAGTCTTTCCTGTCTGCCAAGAGCAGCTCACCACAAAGAGAATGCCATTCCTAATATCTGGAATGTTAGGAATAACAAAAGGAATGACTCTGAGAGGTCCAGGGCCCTGAGCAGAAAATCTCCACCTTCTAAAAAAACGTGCACGACCAACGGGGTCAGGACGTTTCAAAACTGGAAGAGAAAGTGCAGCTTGTTGTCTTAAAGTTGCAGAAGAGTTATTGCCTAACTGAGCGGTGAACCGAACAAGCAGTACACCGATGTCGTCGCCAGGGTGGGCGTGGAACTCATCTTCAGCCCTGGAGTTTCAGCCTCAGACTGGCCCACTTTAGATCACGACCTGTTATTATTAAAATCATGTAATTATAAACTTACATCAGGGGCTATTCCCCTCAGGAAGGAGGTTAAGGAGCATTAAGGGTAGAAACAATAGACTGAGGAACAGCTTCTACCCTTTCGCTGGTAGACTCGCGAATCTCTAACCAGAATAATCACTGTAAAAAAATCACATCATGTTGCTGCTGATCTGTTTCATGTTGCTGCTGATCTGTTTCATGTTACTGCTGATCTGTTTCATGTTGCTGTGTTCATGTGTGCTCATCTGCTCCCACAGACTCATGTTCGTGCTGCTATTTGGCATATTGTTTTTATTGTTTTCATGCTAGTAGTGCTTAGTATATTTTTAGTTGATGTTTTTCTTAGTTAATATCTTAGATCTTATTACAGTTTTTCTTTTACATTTTATTGTGGGATGTAACTGGGACCCTGTGTACCTAATCTCGTTCCACCACATGTACCACATGTGGTGTGAATGACAATAAAGGATCTCTGACTCTGATTCTAGAATCTGACCTTTAGGGGCACTATAGCCCCCAGTTCTGACAATGGCTCTTGGCTTGAACAATGTGGTGGCCATTGGTGTCAGAAGCATTTGTAATGGGGGGGCACTGATGGGGGGTTCTGGGGGGGTTCTCCCCCAGAAAATTTTGAATAAAGTAGATGCCATTTCCTGCATTCTAGTGTATTTTAGCAGGCTGTTTAACACCTAGTTTTACCGAGATATGTTACACTTGATTCAATAGCTATTTTAGAGTTAATGGCACAACAAGAAGTAACCTGACCAACAGCTCCCCTTGTGTGAATAGAGCACACTCCACTTCTCTCACACATCCTAGTCACAGTCTAAGACGCATAGTGTAGCCTAAGTTAACGTTTATGAAAAAATCACTGTGAAATGATAATAATAACTCCTTCTTACCCATGGGCTAGCATTAAGCAATATGATCATCATCCATCATAATTATTAGTAGCTTAAAATACTTGATTAAATCTCCAGTAGTGGGCTACATCTACTGTAACCTTACCCAGTTGTAGTGTCAAGAGACAAACAACATTCAGGAATTGTTTCTATAAGAACATTATCAAATATTTTATATGAACAGTAAGATCATTCCATCCACGAGGAAAGGTAACCCAGGATGAGCTAACCTCGTACAAACAAACAAGTATGGCTGTAATGGTGGAGGTGGTGAAGCTCACGGCGTTACCTGAGACATTTATGCCTTATGAACCAACAATAGAGCAAAGAAGACCGAATAATATATATGTATATATATATATATATGTGTATATATATATATATATATATATATATATATATATATATATATATATATA